GGAATTCTGGGAGTTGAAGTCCACACATCTTAAAGTTCCCAAGGTTGAGAAACACTGCACTGGACGAATCTTGTGGCCTGTATATATTAAACCAATAAAGCTACAATCTTGTCCCAATGAACTTAGGTTTACTTCTGAATCACTACAGGGTTGTACTCTTTTTGTTTTTTAACGGTAAATTATTGCATTACTCTAATGGAGCATTCCTGTGAGTGGGGTATGAAATCTGAAGCACTGCTGAGTTTGCAGAAAGAGAGAAATGATAAAAAGTGGGGTTCCTTTACCTTGGGGTTTTTTTTTGGGGGGGGGACATTTTCTCTCCCACTAGGAGCAATTCTGGGACTTTCTGTATTAGAGACCTAGACTGCAAGAAAAAGACTCAGAGCAATGAGATCTGTGTGTACACGTGTGTGTGGGGAGATCAATCACCCATTATTAAAAACTAGAATGTTACTTAGCATGTCTCCATTTTCATCAGTGAGGCATAGGAGCAGAGATGGGCAACGGGTGAGCCAAAACCTCATTTCACTTTTAATGGAAAAATGGTTACTGGTTTACATTTTTAAATTCTAACTATGGCTGATACATTTTGTATTAGGGTTTTATAGTTATCTTTTATATTGGTTTTATAATTTTGTGTTATCCTTTCCAATCCACCTCGATAGCTTGGTCTTATTTGTTTATTTATCATGAAATTGGCCTGCCAGGAACCTTGAAGGATATGTAATGTAAGTAACGTGTAATGTAACGAAGGATTTCATGTAAGTTTATGAGAAAAAAAATGCAAACACACACACACACATTTGGAACCTTACTGTGTAGCAAGTTTGTGGGGTGCCGCAGGGTTCAGTACTTTCTCCCCTCCTATTGAACATCTACATGGAGCTGCAGGGTGAGGTGATCCGACAGTCTGGGGTGATATCTATATACTGTATCTCCACCTCAAGCTGTCTGAGTGATGCTATGGAAGTTTTATCTCAGTTCCTGGAGGCTGCGGGAGCCTGGATGGGGAACAACAGGCTACAGCTCAACCCAAGCAAGACAAAGTGGCTTTGAGTCTTTGGACCTCCTGTGTCTGGGGACCTTCCATCTTTGGTTCTGGATGGGGTAGCACTACCTCAGATAGAGCTGGTGTGCAGATGGAAGCCATGGCTAGGAGGGCCTTTGCACAGCTTCATGTTGCACCTGTTCTTGGACTGGGGAGCCCTGGTCACAGTTGCTCATGACCATGTGACCTTCCATTTGGACTACTGCAATGCGCTCTACATGGGGCTGCCCTCGGAGCATTCAAAAGTTTCAGCTGGTGCAGAATGCAGTGCCATGGACTGTTAATGGTGCCAGTTATTTGGCACATGTGACACCACTGCTCCGTGAGCTGCACTGGGTACCATTTTGCTTCTGGGTGCAACTCAAGGTACTGGTAGTCACCTTTAAAGCACTACATGGCTTAGGGATGGGTTACTTATGCGATTGTTTCTTCATGGTTGTTTCTACAGGTCTCATTCGATCTGGCAGTACAAGTTGTTGCAGGTAGGGGCCTCAGAGAGACTTTTCTGCAGTGGCACCAGCCCTCGGGAACATCATCCCTCCTGGCCCCCACCCTGCTGGCCTTTT